TGGTGGGGGGTGGGTGCCCTGATAAAGTCATAAAAATAATTATAGGCTAGATAGATGTAGATTTCTAGATCTAGAATCTAGCTTAGACCTAGTCTAGTTTGCGACAGTTTTTAGTGCAAAAAAAGTATTCCCGGTACTAATGTGTCAGTCAGGCTAGGATTCTTCTTCCATTAATCTAGATCTAATCTATTTTTGCAGAACTTCTCGATCTAATCAAAGATTGTAGATTGTTATGTACTATCATTGATCTAATTAGGCCTCGGACAAACCAAAGCCTCTGCTAGCCTACTCTGCTAGCCTACTCTACTAGCCTACTTACTACTTGCCTACTGATTGATTGATCAAGAGACATTAGTCTAGCCTATTTACTATTTAGACAAATAATGTAAAAATAGCAGTTGATCTTTGACCAATGGAGACTCGTCTAATTTAAACGTACTGTAGATTAATGCGCTCCACCTCTCTCAGCTAGTATTAAACAACATACTTTATTGTATCCCCCAACTTCTTTTTATCTAAAATATAAAGATGTATACATCTATTTATGCTTGTACTTATATTATTTAACGCTTAATTTTGAGATATGAATAGCCTATTCGACGAACTTTTTTCTTCAAACGAAAACAAAGCCCACGATTTCAAGCGTAAGTAGGTCATCAACGCGCGGACGGATGGAGGACCGATGTTTTCAAATTTTAAACGTAAACAAACTGTTGTAGAAAGTGTATTCGCGTGACACCGTAAGTACTCATGCAATTTGAAATGTTACTCGGAAATTAATTGTTATTGATTTAGGAATTATTTTCATGTTTGATTTACATTTAGACTCCACATTTAGGCCGTGGGGAGGAATTCTACCGCGTAGACTCGGTTCAGATAGGCAGGCCTGTTACTGTAAATGTCTGCCTGCCTGATTTCAATTCGCTTGAAAGCGAAGACGAACTTGCCATCCAGAACTTACGAAAGCTCCCAAGACCGTGGACTCAAGTTTTTAAACCCCCCGGCAAAGGAATTGCTGACTGAAATATAATGTCTCGTGTTAACCTGACTGATTATTAACATTGTTTTGTAATATTGCAAAAATTCCATGGATGTGCAAGGACACGGTAGTGGCAGTGGTAGGCTAGTTGATGGATGGCTGATAACAAGGGAACAACCTTTGCTTAGTTACGCCAAGTTACATTAGAACGAGATCAAGTCTGCTGTAGATCTAGATCTAGAGTCTAGATATAAATCTAGATCTCTAGATCTAGATTTAGATATCTATTCTAGATCTAGATATCTAGATCTAGATATATCTAGGTCTAGAATCTAGGGAAGGACTTCCGTAACCAGCGACCAATTAAAGAAGCGAAAAGGCCTAACCCTCTAATCCAAACTCAAACCCTAACCCTTACCCTACCCCTAGATCTACCCCTCTACCCCTAGCCCTCAATTCTGCTCTGTCTCATAGTGGTCGCTCGTTACAGAAAACTTAAAGAATTGAAACTAAATCCTCCTGAGATTCATCTTGAACCTTAAACTTAGACTTGACTTAGAAAGTGGCTATTCTCACCCGCCCGGATGTTCTCGCAAGATTAACTCCTCCCCTCTTCTCTCTCTCTCTGTCTCTTTCTGAATACTGTCTGTCGGTGTGGACGATCAAATTGACCAAAACAAAATTGGTTGTCTACAAAGATGCTACGGCTATTTAAATTTAACTTTTCGAATCGAGCCGAACTACGCAGGTCGCCATTTTGTTTTGCCCGGAAATTCTCGCGCTACTCCTCTCTCTCTTTCTCTCTCTCTCTCCACTGCCCACAGACAAAATTGTACGCTTTTAGTAGGCTACAGTTGTAATGGAACGTTTGTTCAGGGCACAGAATTCTACAATTTTTCTGTTATCACAGTGTAGAATTCTGTGGTTTAGGTTGAACGCGCACCGGGTGAGAATAGCCACAAGACTCGCCTGCACTATTCTCACTCCGGGTGAGAATAGAGGTGGCCTTAAACTTAACTGAAGTGGAGACACTTATGTTAAGTATGTATCTCAACACAGCCTAATGAAATGTAATACTAATACAACGTTCGGGAAAATAAACTTGAACTCTAGAGATCTAGAATATAGATCTAGATCTAGATCTAGAGTCAAGAATCTAATATATCTAGATTTCTAGATCTAGATCTAGATCTAGATCTATTTTTCCGAATGGTTTCCGTTTTCGATATTTGTTGATAAAAATTTGCGAATGGAGTGTGTGTAAAAGGTGTGGACGGGGCGGGAGAGGGGGGGGGGGCGTGGAGGGATGGCCTCATTAAACATTAGTATTAGCAGACACCACTAGATTCTAGATCTACTCCCTGCTAACCTGCTGGCTAAAGTAAAGTCACAAATCTAGATCTAGATCAGGAAAGGCCTAGCTCTAGTTTACGACCGTTTTTTGTGCCAAAAAAAGTTTTCCCAGCAGGTGGTCTGCTAATCTTCAATTTTACCACGATTTAAAAAAAAACAAAACATTTATGATAAAGGATTTTAGTGTTTGCTAGGTGACTAGATCTAGATCTGGGTCTAAATGTTACTGCCAAGGTCAATCAGTCTTGTTTTCTCGCAGTACCTTTTGGAGGTATTTTCAAATGAAGTAGGCCTATAGTCCGGGAACGTTGCCCCAACCACTACTGAAGTATCTGAATACTCAGACATTTAAGTCTCTAGCTCTAGATCTAGTCTAGAACGTGAATTCGATGCCAAAAATGCTTCTTCCCAGTCCTCGCAGAATGGCAAAATGAAAGATGACGCCTAAATCTCGCAAATAACCAAAGAATTAAAATAGGCCTATCGAGAATGGAAACCTTTTGGAGAAATAGAGTTCAAGTTTATTTTCCCGAACGTTCGGAGCAATAGTCACTTCCACAGATTAAACTTAGATCTGATGTAGATTTAGGTCTAAACTCTTTAAAAAAACAACTGATATTGCCTGATTTAAGTTGGTCCCATAACACTCAGCTACACTGCATACTCAAACAAAAAGTAAAAAAAGAAGGCTTCTGTTGTTAAGTGGGAAACTGTGTTGTGAGTCATAGGAGAAAAAAAAAAATTAAAATTTACCCTTTTATTTGTCCCAGAAGGGCACTTTGTTTTACAATGGCAAACATACATGCATAATACGTAATTATAAATATGTACATGCATAAATACATACACAAATACACACTATTACACAAATACAGAACAGTTTACAAACAATGCCACTGTCGGTCGCCACTGTGCAGCGCCCTGTAATTTAAGCTAGGGTTATCGTATCTTGCTCAAGGACACGCTCCAGTGACCACCCGTCTGATCCTGGTGTCACTGACCATTGCTTGAGTCTAAACTCACTACTCACTCAGCCACTGGAGCCCCCAACCAGCTAGTTCTCCAGAAAGTTGTCCCAAAAGGTGAAAGATTGTCTTTGTACTCTGACTGAAATGACAAACCACTTCTTTATCTAGATCTATCATTCATTATTCCTGATTCCCACAAATAGAATTTGGTACACTACTTCACATTGCTTTTCATCGCTTTGATTACCAAGTAACAGTAGGGCTTGACTATTACTATTACTGTTATAATAAATAATAGGTATTTGATACTCAAAATAATGCACTCTCAATTAACACACTTCAAGAGGTTTGCTTTTTTGTCAATAGTGTCTACTCTATTTCATTGTGGTATTTCTTCAGGTTCTGGTCTTGGTAAAAAAAAAAAAAAAATTAATTCTTAAATTAAGGGCCTACTCACCTTTTTGCAGACAATTATATTTCCAGTTAAAACCTTTTTTTGTCTCCAGATGAATCTTCATGGGAAAATAATAGTTATCAAGAGAAATGGCGCTGATGGAGCCCATTTTCCGTTGACTGTGGACCGATGCCTATTTGGCAGGTAAGTCGATAATAAATAGGGCCCATACCTTCCAGAATAGTCATGTACTGTCATGACAGACTTCTTTCTCTTTTCAGTTTCAGTCATTAGAAACAATGAATGGTCTGTAAGGTATCATTTAATAGGAAGGACGATATACTGATTGTTGCACTCTTGAAAAGGAGACTAAATTGAGTGTGCCTGTTTCATAATGCCTGTCTTTTTGGCAAGTAATAAAGGGGTTGTCATTTTTTTGTTTGTAACTCTTTCACTATTTATATGATGTACATGATGCTTCACTCTCAGAAGTCTAAATCTGAGGTGTGCTTTTCATTGTTAATGTTAATATTGTTGTCCTTTGTTTGAATTCTTGCAGAGGCCTTGACTGTGACATTCGTATTCAACTACCAACTGTGGATAATGAGCAGTGTCAGATTGAAATAGATGACAAGGGTCATGTAAGAATCTGTAATCTGTGTTTGTTCTTATGAGAGAGTTATTTTTATTTATTTATAGAAATATCAGCAATGATAGTGAGATTTTTTCCTGTTGTACACATTCTGTTTATTTAGTAGCCCCTTAAGAATTGGCTTATTCTTCTGAAAAGGATTACTTGGGAGTTTTTTGGTTGCTGGTATTCAAATTGCCACGTTTAGATTTGCAATGCCTTCTACCATTTGAGGCTCTTGGGCATTATATTTTAATTAAAATTTAATGGATTTTAAAGTTTTATTTTGTCACCTCTTGTGATTTTAGCAATGTATTTATATAAGAAGCTGTGTTGAACTCTGCAGTGTGCCTTTTAAGTCTTTTGCTATTGTCGTATTTAACAATTATACTTTGTAATCTTATTAAGCTACCCTTTTCATTATGCACTTTCTTTCAGCAGTTTGCTTTTATTGACCTTTCAAAGTAGTCATAGCACAAAACTGATTATTGTCATGTTATCTTAAAGTTTTCACCATTCATTCATTTGTTCATTTCATATGCATTTCTAAAGTAGACCAAAGAAAAAGTTAAATATTTTTTGTTCTTGTCTCAACAGGTATTTATGAAGAATTTAAGCTCCTCAACCCCCACTCTCATCAATGAGAAAGCCTTACCAAACTCACTGACGGCAATGTCCCATGGTGATGTCATCACTATTGTGGACCGGAAATTTAGATTTGAATTTCCGCCAAATTCCCGCTTCTTTCAAGGAAAGTCTCCGAAAGCCAAGAGCCCTAAAACTCCCAAGACAAAGTCCCCAGTGGTAGGTGATTTGATCCAAGGTCTAAGTTCTCAATAGTTACCTTGTTTTTTTGTGTCTAGTCCTGTGCATGTTCGTGAATTTTTCTCTCTGAGCTTTCGTTCATCTCTAAATGGACAACTTAGTCTACAGTGCTGTTCGCTGCAGGTCCTCCAGGCTCTCGTAGAGTTTTGGGCCTCTCTGCCCAGTGTTGAGCCAATGTTTCCTTCTGAGTGTCTCGAGCATTGGGCAGATTTGTTGCAGATAGTTTCCTGTTTGGTTGTCTCTTGGAGTTGAAATTGTGTTTTGTCTTGATGATTGTAAGTTCGGTGAGAGGTAGAGACACTGTTTAAAGGGTTAAATTCAAATTGGCGAAATTGTCTAAGATAGCCACCTATTGTTGGGAGAAAAATGCTTGTATTAGACAGGTGGACATCTTAGTGTCATTATGATACAGAAAAAAACCCCGCAAGGAAGGAGTGGTTGTATGGACAGGTCAGTCTTGGACAAGTGATCTTTAGAGCAGGTTTGATTGCAGTTGGGGGGGGGGGGTCGGGGGTGTAAAGGGGTATTGGTTATGCTGTGCCTTTCTCAATAGAGTAGTTCCCCTCTACCCTACAATTAAGTTTAGAAATACATGTTTTGTATTTTGTTATACAATTGGGATTATGTGACAGCCACATAGAGAGGCCTAGGAAATCACTATCAGGTTTCAGAAAGGGAGCATGCATGTTTGGGTATTTTTTGGCGTTTTTGCTATCATTATTCTCTCTATGGTTATGATTATCCTGTTCTTGTCATTCTTTCATAGTGGGTGGTTGGCGAGTGCTCAGGTGTGGTTTGCTTCTTCTTTGCTATCAAACATCTATCGTCCTTATCTTTCCTTCTTCTTTTTTATGTTTGTTACTCCTCTAATCTTCTGGCGCTCATTTGACCTTATGCAGTTGCGCCGAAAAACCTTTACTAAAATTAAAACTAATTCTCTCATAATCTCTGCAGGTGGCTAAACGTCTCAGTTCTGGGAAAAGCCCAAAAGCCTCTCCCAAAAAGCCCTTAAGTCCGAGGACTGACAATGTGCCTATGGCTCAGAGCCCTAAGTCAGCAAAGTCTCCCTCAAGTGCCAAGAAGGATTCTGGAAAACGCAACTCTAATGCAAACAACAACAAGTCCCCTCAGGGTGGAGCCGCTGCGTCCCCTGACTTTTTGTTTGGGTTGTCTCCAGCTTCATTTTACAAGGCGTCTGTGACTCCTAAGGCGATCAAGAAGATCTCTGACTCGTACCGGGCCAGTGGATCTGCCCAGGGCTCCCGCGTGAGCAGCCCGGCCCCAGCCAGTCAGGCACAGAAGAGTCCACTCAAAGTAGCTGCAGGATCAGCTGCTGGATCACCCAAATCTCCTGGTGGAAAGGTAAGGGGGATTCATGATAGTCATGATATGTAGAAGAGAATCATGGTGAGAAGGGATTCATGATGTGAGAAAGAAGGGATTCATGATATGTAGAGGGGAGTTCATGATGTGAAGGAAGGATTCATGAATGAAGAAGGGACTCATAATGTGAAGAGCTGTCTGATTTATTTTGTCTTTGGTGAAGACTTTGTTGCATAAAGGATGTTATGAGTTTTATAGGATTGTTAATGACCATAAAACAAGAATTGTTGCGAAGGGGATTTATGTTAGATGTGGTCACTCTTGATTCCTGTTTTTTTTTTTTGTTTCTTACGTTTCTTCTTTATAAGTTTTAGATTCTTTATATATCACTATTTGATATGCCTTTTTTGTGTGTGTGTGTGTGTGTTGCATGCCTTTCCCTCTCTCTCCGGACAAATTAAAAAATTGTCTTTCATAGTGGGTGAGTTTTGTAAACTATCGGGTGAATTTGATATTTATCTTACCCATGATGTAGTCTTTTCATTCTGTTCTGAAAGAGAATCTATCAGTAGCAACTGTCTTATGACCCCCCCCCCAATTCTGCTGTAAGCTGACGAAATACCTTTTTCAAATTCACAGCAGTTTCGAGAAAAAGAGTTTTTTTTGTCAGCGTAACAATTGAAAAATAGAGTGCTTCAGAAATTTAATTCAAATTTTATTCCCATTTGCACTTTGATTTTTTTCTCAGAAGTAGGGTAACTGATCAGGTTTTAAATTTTGCGAATAAGAAATTTGGCTGTCGAAATGAGAAAAAAAAGGGCGCTTTGTCATTTAATGGCAAAATTGTCCTTTCTCTTTTTTCGAGATAGTTGTCCTTACTCTTATTACAGTATATATTCCTTTTATAGAACAGCAGTGACCCGACATTTTAAAATACCCTTTATAAAAGAAATCCCACAAAAGGAGCGTATTTTTTTCTAAAGTAATAAAACTCGTGTTGTACAGAAATTGTTGTCCCAGTATCATATCTGTTCCCATTGTTTGTTTTTTTTGGTATGTTTTATTACAAATTTTGAATCTGTTTCTGATGCACAGAAGTCTGAAGGGACCCCATACTCAAAGTCAAAAAACTTGCGCAAGAGTATCACAGACTTGAAGAGACGATCGGTGCCAGTTTTTGAGGCAGAGGAAAGCTCTCCGAATGTACCTAAACAAGGTATCGTGTGTTGTAGTTGAGTTATTGAGTTGAATAAGAACTCGTTTGTTTTTCATCCTCCTTTCATTATGGTCTCCATTGCAAAAGGATTCCCAAGCAATGAAGCCATCGCATGTGGGTAACAATTGGAATTAATTAAAGTGAATACCTTTTCAGGTGGACATTTTAGCAAACGTTTTGAAGGCAAGTGTTTAGCTATATAATCTAAACCTCTACACGTTTGCCACTTTACAGTAAAAACTTTACAGTAAAAGTTATTAAGTTATGTAAGGCATTAAATTAAAAACTGTTTGGTTAGGTGTAAGATAGATCTAGAGACTGAATATTTTTGTACGATGTCTGAAAATTCTTTTTTTAAATATTTTTTTTAGAGGATCCTCTTTTCCCTTTCCTAGCATTAAAAAAAAGTTTACCATAAAATCAAATTTGGATGTTGATTGCAATGTGAGTGTTACCTGGCATTTCAGTGGAAACTTGTATCTTCTTTTATTCGTTGGTGCCTGACATTAGATCTTAAGTCTGAATAGAAGGTTCCATGTTGTTGTGTCGATGTCATTCCCCTTTTGGTTTTGTGAATATAGCTGTCCTTATCCCTCCTCTGCTTCTTTTTTGTGTTTGTTACTCTCTTGCAACACCTATTCTTTGGTACATACATGAGCTGTGTTGTGAGTGCTGTTAAATGCTCACTTGAACTAAAAAGGCAATCACTTAGTTGCCAGCTTACTGAATCTCTGGGAAGATGTTGAGCCCCTTCAGGCTACCTATGAGCACAAAGACAGGCACAGATGCTTGCCAGTAATGCCATGTTATTTAAGTATAAAATGCCAGCTTAAAGGACATACATTTTCAAAACAGGATCATGAGAGCTATTTGTGTGTAAATATTTTTCATAAACTCGTAAAATCTAAGAATTTTGATAACAAACTGTATAATAACAGATATTTTATTAACCATCCCAAGTTTAAACAAAGAAAGCTGTAAATAAGGCTCACGGGGGTGGGGATTATAGAGGAAATTCAGTGTTATTTGAATTTGATTGATTACTGTTCTAGAATAACAGGGTGGATAAAGGAGATAATATGTTCTCTGGTTCTGTCACTTTCAAGTCAAGATGTACTGCATGAAGTAAGAAGGCCAGAGGGCTCTCGTGGTCCAGAGGTATGGTGTTTGCCTCTCATTCAGCGATAGTGAGCGCCTTAAAACACCAAGAAAAGAGAAAAAGTAAAGTGGGCCTGGAGAAGTGGAGTAATGCTTTGAGGGTCATTACCTGCTCGGGGTGGGGGGGGTCGGAGAAACCAGACAGGCCACAACTAAGTGTGCCTCTCAGAGAGTGGAACTGAATAGCCATGTGAACTGATAGATCTTCTTCCATTCTCTTAAAGTATGTTATATTATTTTTTGTGGGTGAAATTTAAAGACAGAAGAACTAAGTTCTGGGGAATATAGCTGTAGGCAAAGAATTTTCCTAGCGTTTTAAAAGTATTATTTTTACTGTCTTTCAGAGAGTAAAAAAGCCACCCCACAATCAAACAGAAAGAGGAAATCTTCCGGAGTAATGCTTCTACCAAGTTCAAAGAGAAAGCGCGTGTCATTTGGACCAAGTCTTAGTCCGGAACATTTTGACAGGTGTCTCCCTCCCAAAACCCCTGTTAAGAAAGGAGCCACACCAGGAAGAAGGGATAGCGAGGGTAGAAAATCCTTGCTGAAATCTACCCCTTTCAAGAGCCGTTCCCCAGCCAAGAAGGGCCAGTCACCCCGTAGGTCAAGCACCACCCCTTTTAAAGTGTCTGATAAAACGCCTCCTAAGTCACCAGCTAAGAGTGCCTCTCCAAAAAGCCCGGCGAAATCTGCAGCTGCGTCGCCTGCTGAGAGAAAGTCTCGGTCTCCCAAGAAATCTTTGTCTCCCTTGAAGGCAGCTTCAAAGTCTCCAGTCAGCAGAAAATCAACTCCATCACCGACTCCGAAACAGACTCCTCCATCAAAGTCCAGAGGTTCCACACCCACAAAAACCCCACCAAAATCTAAAGCTAAGAGCCCATCACCCGTCAAAACCCCGAAAACCCAGACACCAGTGTCAGCAGCAAAACCCAAAACTCAAGAGAGCCCTTCTTCCCCTGCCGAGTCTCTGAAGCAAAAGTTAAAGCTGGAGTCCAAGAGCCCTGCACAGGGAAGTGCCTCACCTGCTAAGAGCAAGACGCCGGCAAAGAGCCCAGCCAGAAGCCCTTCTCCCGCTAAAAGCAAGACACCGGCAAAGAGTCCGGCCAGAAGCCCTTCTCCTGCTAAAAGCAAGACACCGGCAAAGAGTCCAGCCAGAAGCCCTTCTCCGGCTAAAAGCAAGACACCGGCAAAGAGCCCAGCCAGAAGCCCTTCTCCCGCTAAAAGCAAGACACCGGCAAAGAGCCCAGCCAGAAGCTCTTCTCCCGCTAAAAGCAAGACACCGGCAAAGAGCCCAGCCAGAAGCCCTTCTCCCGCTAAAAGCAAGACACCAGTGAAAAGCCCTGCAAGAAGCGGCTCCCCTGCTAAAAGCAAGACACCAGTGAAGACACCGGCAAAGAGCCCTGCAAGAAGTCCTTCTCCTGCTAAAGGAAAGACACCAGCAAAGAGTCCGGCAAGAAGTGCATCTCCAGCTCTCAGCAAGACGCCAGCGAAGACTCCTGCTAAAACTCCAGAGGTAGTTAAATCCTCTCCTGCCTCTAGATCAAGGAGTCAATCTCCTGTAAAAACACCCAAGTCTGCAGGGAAGACCCCGAAAGTGGAGTCGGTTTCAAAGATTATTGCTAAAACCCCTTCCCCTGCTAAATCCCCTTTGAAGTCCCCAAAAGTCAAGTCTTCTACTAAAAAAGGATCAACGAAAAACACTCCCGTCAAAATTGACCAAATGAATGTGTCTGCTGCGTCCCCAATGGATTTATTTTCTCAGCTGAGTCCCCTTGCCCCAGTGGTATCTAAAAGAAAAAGTACTCCAGGGAGCGTTAAATCCAAGAGAACTCCTCAAGCCAAGCGTGCGAAGAGTGCAAGTCCTGCTGGGCTGAAGCGCATGTTCAAGACCCCGGGAAAGAAATCCTTGCCTGTTGATGTTAGTCCAGCTAGTCTTCTACGCTTGATGAAAACGCCCAAAGAAAAGACAGATGCTGTCACTAAAACGCCAAAAGCAAAGAGCGTTCACATTAATGCTGCAAGCCCGACTGGTGTGAAACGGTTGCTGAAAACGCCAAAAGTCAAACGCGCAGGGCAGCAGGTGAGCAGCCCCAGTGGCATCAAACGTTTGCTGAAGACTCCTAAAGGCAAGATTGCCGCAGAGGTGGCCCTTGAAGGTGTGGCAGAACTGTTGACTACACCGCCAAGCAAGGCTGCTTCAACTCCAAAAGGAAATATAAGCCAAAACAATGCTGGTCAGGGATCGTCTAAGAGGATGTTTGTTGACACCCCAAGGCCAGTATTTTCAGCAAAACGGAGTAGGAGCCCTAAGAAATTTTTTGATGATGCTGCTGCTGCTTCTCCGAGCAAGAGTGCGCCAGAAGGGAAGAAAGGTGGTACTCCAAAAGCGACTCTTTCAGCCAAGAAAGCTGCATCTCCTAAACAGACTTCTGCTAAAAAGGTCACATCTCCTGCAAAGATGCCTTCACCTTTGAAGACTTCTGCAAAGAAAACTTCACCTAAGAAGACCCCTTCATCTGCAAAGAGTTCTCCTAAAGCGTCCCCCAAAAAGCAGACAACGCCAAAGCCAGCTGCATCCCCTAAGACCCCATCCTCTGCTAAAGAAGATAACTTGAACATTCTGAGCACACCAAAGTCGAGCAAGAAAGGAGGGAAATCACCCAAAGCACAGAAGAATCTAGCTCTTACAGCGTTGCAGAGTCCAGCTGGGAAAATTATTGCACCTCCTCAAGATATCAACAAAGTGGTGGCACTGCGGGCTATTATGGGCAGACAAGCGACCCCGAAATTGTCGGCTCTCCAGAAGAAGCCAATGACACCAAAGTCGAGCAAGAAGGCAGCGTCCGCAAAGAAGGTGAAAACTTGGTCAGATATTGTCAAGGCTCAGCCATCAGCAAAGCCGCAGAGTATCGCCCAAGGCAAGAGTATCTCTGCTCTGAACAAAGTGATCAAGAAGCAGTCCCCCCTGCCTGTGAAGGTGAGATGCTGATATGGTTTATTATTTCTTAGAACTTTGACAAAGAGAGTAATGTAGTTAGATCTAGTTGTTTCTTGGAACATTGACATCGTTCATAGGGAAAGCTTTAAAAATAAAAATTTCTCTCCTTTAGGGTTGGTGTTTTTTAAATAAAAAATCATACTTGGCTCTATTACCTGACCATACTTTTGATATTTCATCATACAAGGTGTCCTACAGTGAGATTCGGTTGAGTCTGCTTTTAGTCAAATTCTTCTGGCTGCTGGATTTTCTTCCGTTTAGCCAGCTTTTCAGCTTAGAGAGGTTGTTCAGATAGGAGAAAACCCCCATTTTTATATTCTTTCGGCTTACAGCTGTTTTTAACTCCCCCCCCCCCCCCTCAATATGTCCTTTGTGTGACCATGCATATGAAACTGGTTCATCACCTGTTCCTCTACACAGCCCTAAATCAAATGTCATCAGAGCTACACTTCTCCTCCGAGACCTAACATTGATAACACTATGGAACATTACACTAATTACAGCAACTGTAGCAAACTTGCACTTTTATTTTTATCTCTACATGGCATTGGACAGAAGGGTTAGGGCCCAGCTGTTGCTGGATAGATAACAACAACTGTTGTTTTTAGGTTCACCGTGTTTGTTTTTCGCAGACTCCACCGTGTGTGATATTGCATGATTTGGTGTACCTGTACTGTAGTGAAAAAAGCCTGTGACTATACAAACAGTGGAGAAACATTTCGTGAAACACTGTAGGGGTAGATTATAGGTTTGCTTTAACTTATTTTTTAAATAGTGCAGTTTAAGACTTGTCCCTTCCTTCAGGTATGCCAAGTTAAGTGACTTCTTGTGCATGTTGATACCAGGAGTCTTGTGTTCACCTTGTCAAGGCCTGTGCAGCATGCTCCGAGGTCTTGGTCAACTTTCAAGTGAAAGTTGACCTTTCTGTAATCTGAATCTCAGTACAAAAATAACTTAACTATCTAATCGATGACCACTATTGCTTCTAAAAAATTGCCTCTCTGCTCATACCTTATGCAATGTAGAGAAAATGAAGTTTACTATTTGTACGACGGCAGATGAGAACCAATGAGATTGCAATACTTTCCTTTGCTGATTAAAAATTTATTGGGAACATGTTTAATGTTTTATTTGTATTTTGTGTTGGATTTGGTTGCTTTTTGTAGTATTCACAATTTGATTTTAAAAAATTATTTTTGTCTTTCTTTATGGTTTTTAGAGATTAGGAAAAGTGCCCAAGACTCCCCGGACTGTGGCAAGGGCTCTGGCTCCCTCAACTGGCCATGCAGAATCGCCTGCCACCATTTTGATTGGCAGGAAGGCTCTCGGAAAGACCAAGGCTAAAACACCCAAGCAAGTCCCACGGAAGGGAAGAAAACAGTCTGTTGTAAGTCACTGTGTTGTAGTCCCTCACTGTTGTCTGGTGATGTTGAATTTGAAGTTATTCTGATTCCTGTTTCGAGTAAGACGAGTTACAATTTTTCAAATTTTCTTGTCTAGGGAAAATTTTTTCTTGCTGGGTTACTTTTTAGGGGTAGAGAAGTTTTCATGTTATGTTATTTGTCCATTTTATGTTTTTATTATGTCTCTCTAGTTGGTGGGTGTTCTGGTGTGGTTTGTTCCTTCTTTCCTATCAAACATCTATCGTCCTTATCTCCTCTCCTTCTATTTTGTGTTTGTTACTCTCTTGTGTTACTCTCTTGTAACACCTCTGATCTTTGGCACTTATATGACCTTGTTGTGTTGCAAGTGCAATAAAACTTTAACTAAAACTTCTGTCTCTCTACATTGACAAAGAATGGCTTTCCTCTTGTTACAGACAAAAGCAGCTAGGAAGTCGGCCGGAAATACCAGTTTCACTGGCCTCACAGAGATGTTTAAAACTCCGAAAGAAAAGTCTCCCTCCACTTCCAAGCAGAATGACAGTGCCTTGTATGCCGAGCTTCCAGACACTCCGAATGGACCAAACGAAATGTTCGTGTCCCCTTTGTCCGACCGCAAGTCCAAGAGCCCGGGCAACAGGAAGAGCACAAACCTGGTGGGTGTGAAGGAGCTGTTTAAGTCCAGGAAGTCATCGGGCAAGGTGACGTTGACAGGGGTCAAAGAGCTGTTCCAGGAGCGGAAGGCCAGCTCCGTGGTCAGCCCCACTGGTGTGAAGAAGATGCTCAAGTCTCCCAAAGTTGTTCCTGCGGCCAGCCCCACAGGGGTGGAGCATTTGTTCCTGTCTCCCAAGGTAGGTCTTCCCCCACTTTTTCTTTCTTTCTCTCCAGTTTAGTCCAATGATTTTAACTAGTGAAATTAAGAAGACAAACTTGAGGTTTTTAAAAAATGAAAATTTAAAATGTATGAGGTTTCTTAACCGCCGAAACATGTAAAAAAAAAAAAAAAAAGAAAACCTTTGGTCAAGAACCCATTTTGCTCATTTTATGTCTTTATAGTGCTAGTTTAGATGAATCTTTTCGACAATGAAAAGCTGAGCAAATGTGAGCACTTTGAACAATTCATCCCTGAACGTTTTAGGTTTTTCTTTTATTTAGAAACCATTATCATAAATGAACGTCTGACATTAAAGTGTGTCATGCAAATTTTGTCGTTGCGCATTCTTTCAATTAACTGAAAATATTGGTGTGGACTGTTATTTAAATTTCTGTTATTTCAGGTTGCAAAATCGCCGAAGAAGGTGATATCAGCTGAAGTTGCACAGGTAGAAGCTGTAGCTGCAAAACCAAGCCCATCTCCTGTGGCTGCACGAGGAGGCAGGAGAGGAAAAGTTGCCAAAGTTACTCCTGTGAAGGCCACAAAGAGCAAGGCTCAAACTCTGACGTCGCCCGCCTTGGCGGTAACCCCAGTGAAGACTTCGAGGACAAAAAGAGGAGCTGCAGCAGCAGCAGAATCTGAGCCGCCTGCAGCTTCTCCTGTGGTTGCTAAGAAACAAGCTACCAAGCGCAAAGCAGCTGCATCGCCAGCGGCTGCGGTGTCCAAGAAAGCTAAAGTTGTCGTGGCCGAGGCTTCTCCTGCCAAGCCCAGGGGCACCAGGGGTCGGGGTGCAGGAAAAGCTGCAAGTCCAGCGAAGAAAGCATCTCCTGTAAAGGCCCCGGCTCGGGGTCAGAAAGGTTTGTGAACTTTTGGTCGTAATATTCGGCTGTCCAGTTCCCTCTTTTCTGCCAAATCCAGTATAAATGGATTATGTTACAACAACTACAAAGAGTACAAAATATTGCTGCCAAAATAATTACTAATAAACTAAAGCATGATCATGTGACTCCTATTTTAAAAGCATTGCACTGGCTCCAGGTGAAAGAGCGTATCATATATAAAATCTGTTTAACTTGCTACAAGTGCTTAAATGATTTATCACCGGACTATCTAAAACAGTTTTTAACACCCTATGTGCCTCCTAGAACACTCAGATCATCAAGTGACAAAACAACCCTTGTTAACCCTAAAATAAATTTCAAATCATATGGCCAACGCTCTTTTTCATATTTTGCCCCACTTGTTTGGAATAGGCTTCCAAAAACTATCAGAGAAGCATGTATGGTATAAGGTTTTACGGCGCTCGCAACTGCTAAGGTCATATGAGCGCGCTATCAGAGAAGCAGAAAATCTAGAAATTTTAAAGAAGAAACTAAAAGCATATCTATTTTTATCATATTTCGATTAGACAGAATCCATCCAAGCTGTAGATCGTTGTGAGTTTGTATGTGCATATGTACGTATGTGTGTATGTATGTGTGTGTGGTGCGTGCATGAGTGAATATGTGTTTGCACGAGTATGTAACACTATGTACCTTTAAAATTGATTTGTGAATCCATAACATTTATCATGTTAAGCGCATAGAGCATTGCATGTGGATATGCGCTATATAAAGGCAATCCATTATTATTTTTTAATGTTTAAGGTCCATTGCCATCTACAGACGATTGTGTTGTTTCCTTTAGATGATTATATACAGTTGAAATTGTCCTAGATGGCCACCCATTGCTGAGGAGAAAAGTGGTTATCTTAGACAGGTGAACTTCTTGGATAGTGTCATTACAATATTTTAAAAATGCAAAGGGAGAAGTGGGAAGTGATTGTTTGTAAAGGTGCTTCTTTTGGGCAGGTGGCTGTTGGACCAGGTTTGACTGAACAGTGGAACCTGTCTTGCCAGAAAACTGTCTAAGATGAAAACCTGTCATAATGGCATCTCCCTGCTCCCCCTTTTAAGAAATTTCTCTATAACTTGGGGAAACCTGCTCAATCTGGCGACTGAAAAAGAAATACCGTCGTGGGGGGTTGACCTGTTCAGGGTGGAAAATCATAAAATGCTCATATGAAAATGGAACTCCAAAGTTAGATTCCATTGTCTCTAATCTTTTCACCAAGCCAGTTTGAAATTGTCTAAGATGGCCACCATTGACCTTTGTCAAGGAGAAAAATGGCGGGCTTAGACAGGTGACTGTCTTAAACAGTGTCATTGTAATGTTTAAAAAGTGCGGGGGGGGGGGGGGGGGGGAGGAGGTGGCTGTACTGGTGATTGTCATAAACAGATGGCAGTGAAAGCAGGTTCAACCGTATATTCTAATTTCTATATATGTATTTATACTTTTGAAGAATGTTTTGGGTTTATTTTCCTTTCTGTGTGTCTTCAGCAGCAGCAGCAGCAAAGGCTGTGGTAGCAGCACCAGTTGAGGCCTCCCCGGTGAAGTCCAGGAGCACCAGAGGTAGAGGAGCAGGGAAAGCTGCAAGCCCAGCCAAGAAAGCTTCTCCTGTTAAAGCAACGGCACGCGGCAAGAAAGGTATTTTGTTTAGTAAAAAAAAAAAAGGCTTTGTTTTGTTTCATGGGCCCTGTAGTGTTTACAACATTGCATTATGTCTAAAGAAGCCGCATACAATCATGTTGTGAGCTGTTGATGTGTTTGGATTTTGGCCTACTTCCTTTATCGTAGTTTTTAGTAAGTCCAAATTGAGAAAGGGCTCATATTTGGGATCTAAAGTTTCTTTCACGTTTTTACTCATTGTTGTGATAAAAGATTACTTAGCATCTTTTGGTTTCATTTTTTGTTCAAGAAAGCCAGCAAATTGAAATAAAATATTAAGTGTTTGTATGTGTTTTATCAATATAACTACAGCTAGTTTTTTTTAAAATCTGCCATAATCATAGAATAGTGAAATCTCTTTTATCTATTAGGTTTTGAGGCTCAGAAGTTTTGGATCTGCTTTTCTTACAGGATGTAACTTATGTTCGTCTGAGAAAAAGGATGATACAATTTTATAAAAGAAATGGTTAAGAAGAGAAAAGTCTCTGCATCTTTGTCCTTTTAATGTTAAATGTTTCCCTCCTTCTGCTTAATACTTAATTAGGCCTTGGGCCTGTACAGATTTGGCTGGGTTTGTGTACACTAAGCATCTCATTCATCACCAAGAGACCATTGAAATCTACTTTTATTATTTTTAATATGTTGATATCGTACCTCAGATATCATATTACATAATGGCATATTCGTTCTCAGCAGCAGCGAAGGCACCAGAGCCTGAGGTCGTGGTTCCCGTACAAGCCTCGCCAGTGAAGGCCAGGGGCACCAGAGGCCGTGCGACAGCAAAAGCAGCCAGCCCTGCCAAGAAAGCTTCACCGGTCAAGGCTGCGGTTCGGGGCAAGAAAGGTATTTTTTGTTTTGTCTTTCTCGTGTTTGTAGCTGATGTGTATATATAATATATATGACCACATGACGCATTTTGAAGAATCCCGTTTTTTTGCATTTTCATGTGCAAAGATCATTTCTGAACAATATGAAATATTGATATATTACTGGTTAAAGAATCCATTTTGAATGGAACTTAGTTTTTGTCAAAAATTCTATTTTTGACCTTTGAGGCCTGATATCTCGGTTCGAGCAAATGCGTCTTGTGGTCCCTTTCACCAGGCACGCACACATATATGTACACTTGATTGTGCTCTCAGGGCCACCTGTACAAGACTATCACTTGTATCAACTATCACATCCCAGTTTCCCCTTTCTTTTAAAAAGAATTAATATAATGACATTGTCCAAGACTTCCGCCTGTCTCAGTCACCAACTTTTCTCCTCAACGGGTGGCCTTGGACAAATTTTAGTGTATTTGTTGGATTACTGCTTGATTTTGGACACTGTAGTTTTCGTTCGGTCCTTTAGTTGTACCATTATTTGTGTTTATAGTGTGAGTTAGGCTCTTTGTTGTTGCAGACGGAAGAAATCAGTTGGATTCCAGAATTGGGAAATTATAAATCATTTGCATCAAGTAATTATGTGTGTGTGCTGAGATGTTGTATCTCACTCATGCGGGGAGGGGCATGGGTGGCAATGTGAAAACCCGAGCTGCTGATTTTCCTAATTAATCCTGAATTCTGATGCTTCTGTAACTCTGAATATGAATAGAAATGTGATGGCTGCTGACAAAATGAGTTACTCTTTGTATTTTAGCTCTATCGAAATGCGTTCGTCAAATTTATAGTTTTTCTATGATTTATCAGTGAAATGAAACAATTTATCAGTGTAAAATGATCAAAGACATGATAAACATGAAGAAAATGGCATCAATTGAAAATCTACCCCTTTGACATGTGTTATGTTGATTTTCACTGAGATCTCTTCATTCACTGATTGTGGGAAGTAACTCATTTTGCCTGCACGCAGCACAAGTGTTGTGATCATTGGGGTTAATATTGCTCTTATTTTATCCCTGTCATCTAGAATTAATTCAGAATCTGTAGCCATCTTAAAAACTAAAATACTGCTTTGGAGAAACAGTGTTGTTGATAGTAAACTGATTGGTGTAGTTGGCATCTGTAAATGGTGACTTTGTCTTGACAGCTGCTGCGAAGACAGTAGAGCCTGCAGCACCAGTAGCTCAGGAGCCAGCGGCACCTTCCCCCGTCAAGGTGGCGTCTCCTGTGAAACCAGCCGCTCGGGGCAGAAAAGGTGATCTTTTTATTACAATCGACCCCACTTGTGTTGAACTTGCTTGAGTTGCTCTTCGGTTAAGACTGTTAAGTTGATCTTTTTATCGGGTCCTGTCACCTCTTCTTCTTTACAGATCCCAATGGTTAAGTCAGGAATGGGGATTCTCCTAAAATTTTCAGAATTCCGAACTTTAAAAAAATAAAAATTTGCAGACGATTGTACTGTTGCATTGTGGATTTGAACAATTTCTTGCTGTGGGAAAGTGGGTGTGGACAAACTATTGCTGCACTGCACTTGAAAGAGTTACATACTACCATTTCTCCTCCTACTTGAGCATGAGAACATGAACATGCAGGGAAAAGAATTACTGCCTGACCATCAAACAATAACATTGATCTGACCTGTAGAAACATTCATAAGTATTTAGATGAATGTAGGCTTCTGTATTTTTTTATTTTATCATGTTTGTTACCTAGTGAAATAACACCTTATTGTAATTCTTTTTTAAAATTCAAAACACTCTCAGAGACTCAGAGAAAACTCTCAGTTTTCAAAGTTAAAAATGTAAATTTCTTCTCGGCTTCAGGGACCCCCCTGCTGCTGTCGCAGAATCTTCAGAAAAATTATTAGGGATTGGTTTCCATCCGTGTTAGTTGAACTTCGGATGGGTTGAATCTTTTGTCGCACTTCCCTGATGACACAAACTCTTCCGTATTCTACTGTATAAACAAGTTTTTAATTCAAATTAGTTCAACGTTGTGGAATGAATGTCTTGAGGTGATGGTTTTTTTTTGGTACATCTCATTGGGAGATAAATTTTGATTTTCTTTGTCGAATAATAGTTCATCTGTCAATTGCCTCACAAGACCAATCCGTCTGCAAAGGAGAATATTTATGAATGGAAATAGAAGAAATTATAGTGTAAAGGACTTGAGTCTTCTGCTATGGCCAATGGGACCAATTCTGGTAGAGAATATATGCAATATTTTTAAGAGTTTAAAAGCTTCATTCTCCATTTATCTTTTTGTCATCAACAGTGGCAAAGGCTGAGCCTGTGGTAGCAGCACCAGTCGAGGCCTCACCGGTCAAGTCCAGGAGCACCAGAGGTAGAGGAGCAGGGAAAGCTGCAAGCCCAGCCAAGAAAGCTTCTCCTGTCAAACCTGCTGCACGTGGGAAGAAAGGTATACCTTTTTTTTTCTCTTCCCTCCTGTTTTCCAAAGATTATGGTTGAAAATTTTGAATGCAGAAGAAATGAGCGATCAATTACCTGAGATTTTTAAGATTATTAACTAGGATCCAGTTGTTTGTGCTATGGTCAGAATATGGTCTAGCAGTGTTGTTTAATGTCTTGTGTGTTTATGCTGTATAATTCCTTTTGTCAAATGTCAGTGAGGAACAGTACATCCCATTGTACTGTAACTCTTTTATTTTAGCAGAGATGAGAGGTTTGTTATCGATTTTATTCTTAAAATACTTTTCTTTAGGAGAACATTGAAGAAACTTCCCCACTCGAGGATGTGCAGTCTTGAACCTCAAATCTTCCAAACTTCCTTCCTCTCTCTACCCCATTCCCCCTTTTTCTCCTTTAAAAAGAAAAAAAGAATGAAAGTCCAGATTACTAGTATGAATACAGTTGGGGTATTTTTTTTCTTCTTTTTCAGCAGCAGCAGTAGTTAAAGCCCCTGAGCCCGTAGTAGCAGCACCAGAACCTTCTCCTGTCAAGGCCAAAACGACCAGAGGGAGAGGGGCGAGCAAAGCTGCCAGTCCGGCCAAGAAAGCTTCTCCTGTCAAACCTGCCGCACGTGGCAAGAAAGGTATGTTGGATTTATGATGTGTGCATTCTTCTTTGTGCCTTACAACAGGTTTATGGTTCAGGGAATTGAATTATAAATAGTTTTTCTAATTTCATGAATCTCTTTACATTTTTTATTTTTTTTTAGTAACCTTTTGCTTTCAGGTACATAGCAACGAAATCTGTACTAATCAGGCTTTTCTTTAAATATGGTCTATCTTTTTAAAGATACGGTTGTTTTCCCTCTATCCTTGGACAAAGAAAATTGTTTTTTCTTGAGAAATCATGGTGTTCAGGCAGAAGTTAAGCTGGATCCTGTCAAGACACCTGATTGATGTAGACAATCATCATTGTCAATCTTTATGGGAGTTGTTCTTGTGAGGTGGGGGTCTATCAATATACACTTTTCCAGAGTTTTCACTTTGATTTGAATGTAACTGGCATCTGTGATATAGGTGTGAGACACTTTGCTGTCACATGCAGGAGAACCAAGTTCGATTCCTGGATGGGGAGAGAATTTTTATCGAGTATTTCTGTCTTTCTTCTAGGATGTTGTATTTCTTTCAGCTTGGATTGACTGTGACTGGCAGTCGGAAGCCCTACTCCTATATGATCTAAATTGTGTCAGTGAGGATGTTTTTAAAAATCTACATTTAAGGAATAAAGAAAATGGAATGTTAAAGTGTTTGGTTTCACTTTCTCTTTACTCAGCAGTGGCCAAAGCCCCAGAGCCCGAGGTAGCAGCGCCAGTGGAAGCCTCCCCGGTCAAGGCCAGGAGCACTAGAGGTAGAGGGGCTGGGAAAAAGGCAAGCCCGGTCAAGAAGGCTTCCCCTGCCAAACCTGCCGCTGGGACCAGGACAGGTACAGTCCCTGTGCTGTTTGTTGAAACCCTCTATAGCGTAATTATATCGCTACCTTTAAATTAAAAAGTTCTTTCTGACATTTTTGGCTGTTTTGACTTACTAAGAGCATGAGGTCAGAAACCAAATGTTTTATCTGCTCCGTCAAAAGAGTAAGATTATTTAGAGTTATCATGACGTTCAAAGAACTGCATTTGAAAAAAGCTTGACATGTGAAACTCAAATTATTTTTCTGTCAAATCTCTCAAAACTGAGCAGATACAACTTTGTAATTCTTGGGTAGCGGTATTTGTATCTTGTTACAACACACTGGCAAGAGCGATAGATAAGAGGACAGGATAATATCTTGTTCTTTCCCTTCCTCATGGTCTTTGTGCAGGTTCATAGCTGTCAACCAGTATGTAAAAAACTTTTAAGTACATTTTTGGGGTTCTGAGTAGGTATGTTTTTGTGTCTGAAAATATTATGTATTCTCTGTTTTCTAATAGTACACTTTCAAGACTGGATTTGCAAATGAGAATGAAGTCCATATGTCATTTCTTTCAATGTTACTGACCGCAGGTCTGCTTTGAAAAGTTTGAATTAATTAAGTGTAAAAATAAAAAATCAAAGTGTGTGCATCAAGGGTTTGGAGTAGGGTTACTGGGACAATTCCCACCATCTTGATCGGCCGTATGGGAATAGGTTGGGAGGGGTGGCAGATTGAATCCTTTAAAACAAATACACATAAGACTGAAGTTGTCTATAGGCCATTCCCAAAGGGGGGATATTTAACATGTTTTTATGCTCGATGGAATTGTAAATAGGTTGATTTTTCATTGTCGTTCTCATACTGTGCTGGAACAACATAGGGGAATCTGCTTTTTCTTTCCTCATCCTTACTATCGTCATTTTCCTCTACTTCTTTTGTATGTTTGTCACTCTCTTGTGAACTGCTATTTTCGGGGTGCCTTGATTGTCGAAGCAGACTTTGTGCTGTTAAGGCTAGAGAGGTGAGTAGAGTAAGCCTGATTCCCCGTTTGGACTTCTCTGTTGACATCTATCCTTTGGCACTCATATGACCTTATCACTTTGCAGTCACACAGCATGGGTGGTTGGTGGGTGCTCTGGTGTGATTTGCTTCTTCTTTCCTATCAAACATCTATCGTCCTGATCTCCCCCTTTTTTTTATGTTTGTTACTCTCTTGTAACATGTCTAATCTTCTGGCGCTCATATGACCTATGCAGTTGCGAGCTCTGTAAAATCTCTACTAAAACTAAATCACACAGCAGTACAAAATACCCCATCTGGTCACCCAGCCAGGAGAGAGACTGCAATGGACTTCTCGGGCGTGGCTCAAAAATACGCCAGATGACCGGAGCACATAATTTTCAGCGGCGCATTATTGCGTCAAGTGACCTCAAAGTGTTATGCAGTTCCGAGCGCCATGAAACCTAACTAAAACTTAATGACAAAATTTTTAGGTGGATGGTTGGCGGATGCTCCAAAGTGTTATTATAATGCTGTTGCGAGCGCCATAAAACCTTAGTAAAACTAAAACTTAATGACAAAATTTTTAGGTGGATGGTTGGCAGGTGCTCTGATGTGGTTTGTTCCTTCTTTCCTATTGAACATTTCTCATCTCTCCTTCTTTTCTTTGTATGTTACTCTTTAGTAATACCTCTACTTTTTAGCATTTATATGCTTATTTGTGTTGCAAGTATCTGAAAATGCTTATTAAAAAAAAGAAAAGAAACTGTGTATTTGCTTAATTTTTTTGGTTTTGATTTCTTTGGTCTTTTGTTCTGTAGAAAGACATGATTCATATTATCTTTATTTCCTCAAATTTCAACAGGAAAACGGAAAGCTGACGTTCCTGTAGAGCCGTCTCCGGCAAAGAAAGCGAAAGCCGCGGTGGCAGCTCTGGCTACTCCCAAGGTGAAGAGCCCCGCAAAACCTGCCCGCAGAGGTGCTGTGGCCACCAAGGCTGCTAAGGCTGTCCAGTTTAGTGTAGAAGCGAGCCCATCCCCTGTGAAACCTGCCAGGGGTGCGAAGAAAGCTCCGGCAGCAAAAGCTGCACCGGCTGCCACAAAAAGGGCAGGCTCTAGAAGTGCTGGGCAGGCTCCAAAACCGGTTAGTCCTAAGGTGAAAGCGGCTGCTGAAGTTGCCCCAGCTCCTCCTAAGGGCAAAGCAGCAGCAGCGAAGAAGGCATCTGCTCCCAAAGGAAAGGCAGCGACAAAAGCAGCGTCTCCAAAGAAGGCAGCAACTCCAAAGGGGAAGACGGCAGCAAAGAAAGCAACAACACCACAAGCATCTCCTGTGTCCCGAAGGACTAGGCGGCGATGAACAGATTATCTTTAGGGTTGTATATAGGCTCAGTGTGCAGCATTTCAAATGCATAGTCTTTGGATCAGGGACTCAGTACCAGAGACTGGTCGTGATCTGTTTCATTCACGTTCATTTAAAACTGATTCATTCATTGTCCTTGGCTGGAAATGCTCTTCACATTGGACTCTTAAGTGCCGTCAAATTTCAAACAAAAAAATGTTTCTAGTGTTTTAATGAGATGGTCATGGAAAAGCTTAGGTGAGACATTTTTACGTCTTCAGCATGATACGTATTGTGCCATTTATCTGTATTTGGACCGTTGTATAGGACTGACGCAAATTTATTTGTGCCTGTGGAAAGTAAGTAATGCACCAGGTCAGTTAGTCAATGGCAGCTGAGTTGTTTGTTTTTTAAAAAATTGCTTACGACGTATATGTTATAATGTATTGATTGGATTGACGTGTGTTCATGAATATTTAAAAATCATTTTTGCAGCTGTTTTTTCATGCTCTACCTTTTCCAGAGAATGGTCACATTTTTAAAAAAGAGGGACAAAAGATTTAGTATATTTGTACGATATTAGATTCCGTGCCAGCTTATATCTATACTGAATCAACTGTAGATTACACCTTTTTGTTTAGTTGCACACTTGTTTATATTTCTCCTCAATCGACTGTTGTATTTGCTGATGATCTTGGAACTTATACGAAAAAGTTGGCAAAAGTTGAAGAGGAGTGTGCTAGAACTCGGGGCTTAGCGGGGAAATAATATGAAGTGAATATCTGAAGTCTACTGTACTAGCCATCTCTGTCTCTCTCTGCCTCTCTCTCTCTGCCTCTCTCTCTCTCTCTCTCTCTCTCTCTCTCTCTCTCTCTCACACACACACACACACGCACACACACACTCCCCCTTCCCTGTTTATTTGATGTGTTGTAGTGAGGTTATTGCGAGTGCCTTACCTTGGAGTTGCCTCTGGGGCCTATAAGTGTACGTGGACTGACTTGTATCAAACTGACTTATTTAGGGCTGCGACTTTGATTGCAGACAGAATTGATCGTTTCATAATTCATTGTTTCATGATTAAGACGAGATAGTTTTGTGTTTTGTGCTGTTTTTGCTTGTTGTTCATTGAAAGTTTTATAATAGGCCTGCTCAACCGTTTTTACAAATCATCAGAGTAACATTGTGTGCTCTTCTTCGACCTATGTGGTTATCCACACTTTAAAAAAAAAAATGATGTCTTTACCTTTTGAAAGGTTTATTTTCACGAATGCTATTTCAACATTCACACTTTTTACAAATTTTGTCCAAGTCAGAGAACATTTTTAGTTGCCTCATGTTAATCATATTGCATGTGTAACGCTGTGTTATTTGTTACCTACGTTCAGACATTTTGCCTGCCTGAGAAATAAATCGTCTGCGCTCGGTTTCTCATATTATCACATGAGTTCATAACTCCTTTCGAAAGTCTATGTTTCACGATGTATATTAGTGCTGAATTTTCACATTATTTATAGTATGTGAGCATTAATGTGCAAATGTTACATTTCATTTATTTGATGTTTGTAGATTATATATTTGCAATTCCAAAGGCAATGTATAATGGATTTAGGGTTCGGGGTTGGGGGGGGGGGGGGTGTCTATAGTATAGTGTCATGTATGATTCTTAATGTACTACATGACCTCATGCAGTGGGGGATGTAGCTTGAAACAGTTTACATCATTCTAGATGTTAAAACCCTATTTTTTGGGTATATAAATGGGTTATTTAAACATTTAAAAAAATTTCTGCGTCATTTATCCATAAATATGTCAGGGGTCTCCCAAGTAACTTGGGATGGGCATCTGGAAAATATTTTCAGATCGGCAGAAACATAATTTAGGGCAGTAGTAGTAGAAGTATTTGATGTACAACATTGTCTTTAAATGTTTTACATGTTATGACAGACTGTTATATAATTTATTCCTAAAACCTAGTATATCTTTTTGACAATGGGTTTGCTTGTTAATAATATATATGATTTATGTACTTATTAAATGTTTTGTCATTATTAAATTTTTTTTTCTCTCTCTCTCTCCCCCCCCCCCTTTTTTTTTTTCCCCCCCCCCCCCCTCCCTCTCTCCCCCTCCCTCTCTCTCTCTCTCCCTCTCTCTCTCTCTCTCTCTCTCCCCCCCCTCCCTCTCTCTCTCTCTCTCCCTCCCTCTCCCTCCCTCTCTCTCTCTCTCTCTCTCTCTCTCTCTCTCTCTCTCTCTCTCTCTCTCTCCCTCCCTCCCTCCCTCTTCCTCTTTCTCTTTCCCTCCAACCCCATTTCTTTCAGGTCATACATGTGTTTGTCCTGTTGTCTTGGTGAAAACTTTCCCTACCTCTAGTAGAAACTTTCTTTCTATCTCCTGTTGAATGGTGTGGTGCTTCTCGTCTTTTTGCCTACACATCTGTATGTATGTATTGTACATAGTTCTTACTGACTGCAGAGTTCACATTGCCTTTTGGGAAAGTTTTCTTTGAGACGAAAGCTTTTTCATCATCTGATGGGAACATCCAAGTACCGGTATTGTCATTCTCTTCATCCTTCCAAATGTATCTCATGACTCCTGGGGAAGGGTTGTCAGTCAGGATCAGTTTGAGAACGTTTTGTTTGACTGATAATGAAGTTTAAGTTTTTAAAATGATTCTAAGGTAGATTGTTGCCTGCAATGGAAGAGATTGTCTCATACGACTGAGATGACCTCTACCATTTATTCTGGGATTTTTTTACTGTATGCCTGTAGCTTTTTGCCACCTGATCTCTTTGTTTTTAGCGTGTTTGTGATTACCAGGCATGGGGAAATCAATTCTCATCGTAGCCTCTTGTGCAAGTGGGAAGCACATAAATATATCCAGCAATGGCTGGACAAGGTCAAGCCATACACAAATAAAGGCAAGGCTTGCTGGTTAGATGTTTACAGTTCAGAAGAAGTAGGGTCTCTCTTGTTTTGTTGAGGCTTCTTTTCTTCCCTAGGAGTCTCCTCATTTTCATTGTTTAATTTTATTATCATGCACATTATTTTTGTCATATCATTTTCTTGTGTTGTATTTTCACTCACTTGAACAATTTATAGAAAGCACTTTGTCACAGGTTTTGTCCTGGGCATATAGTGTTAAAATCTTTGTTCTTTGTTTTTATCACTGTATGGGGAAATTAGGGAAAGAAGGTTGACATTTGGGATCTACTCTGCGTTTTTATTCTGTTGAAACAAATTGCTCTGGTTTTCAAATTTTCCAGTTTTACAAAAATTTTAATAATTGTGTTTCTGACCTTTTAAAATTCTTGGGGAATATTTTTATGATTTTAGTTAAACTTGAGTGTCAATGTGCCAGGGCTGACATGTCAATTCTGTAGTCTTTATTTGCTCATCTGAAATAAAAAGAAAAAGAATTAGGAACGATGTGTTATTCCATTTTCTTGTGTATTTCCTTGTATCCTTACTTTTGCTGTTGGTATACATACATACACTTGGGATTTGGGTTCATATTTAAAGAGGCCACTTTGCTGGAAGAGAATCTTGTCTTTTTTTTTTTTTTTTAAATAATAAGACCTGACAAGTTTTCAGCTCTGTATAACAGTCGACTCCATGTGAGTTGAACTTTGGGTTCAGTTGATATTTTTCTCAGCTCCCAACGCCTCTTCTTCTTTACAAGTTCCAACGGTTGAGTTGAACTTCTGATTTGATCTTTTTTTTCACTCCCCCGACGACATCAACTCATCCGGGTGCTCTGGTGTGGTTTGCTTCTTCTGTCCTATCATTGAAACATCTATCGTTTTCATCTCCCCTCCTTCTATTTTGTGTTTGTTATTCTCTTGTAACACCTCTAATCTTCGGCACTTATATAATCTTGTTGTGTTGCAAGTGTTGTAAAACACTTACTAAAACTAAAAACTCATCCGTAGTCGACTGTAGTATGAAAGATCATCGTTGGGACACTGAAATACATGTACTACAAAATGTTATTTTAAAACTAAATTGTTTTTAGCTTGATTGTATTCAATTTGAGAAAATTTCTCAGAAATACAAGCTTATCTATCGGCATCTGTGGTGTAGTGTAGTTGTCATAGATGTTTCACTTCTGCACGCAGGAGACCTGAGTTCAATTTCTGAATGGGGGGGAATTTGTATTATCTCAGTCCGAGTCTGATGGGATGTTGTATCCCTCACTCTCAGGCAGGGTTGGTAGTCCGCCTTCTAAACATCTAAAAGTATGTCAATCATTGCATGAGATAAAAAATTCCTACATTAAACAAGCTGCCATCTTTAAACCTTCGTTGTTGTACATGTACCGGGATTTCTCTTTCAGAAAGCAGGGTATTTCTCACCAGCACCTGTGTGGTGTAGTGGTTAGGATTCTTTGCTGTGCACTCATAAGACATGCGTTCAATTCTCAAGTGGGAAGTTCCCTGCACTGTCGGATGTTTCCGTTTTCCTGCTGGGATGCTGTATCCTAGTCAGCCCAGGTCGGCCCTGACGGGCAAGGGTGAAGCAGCCTGCCTCGTCAACTGTCATACCACGGGATGTGGGTGGTTGGCGGGTGTTCTGGTGTGGTTTTCTGCTCCTTCTTTCTATATAAAAAAAATCTATCGTCTGTATCTCCCCTCCTTTTTTATGTTTGTTGCTCTCTTGTAACACCTCTGATCTTCGGCTCTACTATGACCGTATTGTGTTGCAAGTGCCGGGCAAAATTCAAAATTTCCTACCAACTGAAAACGTTCGTGTCCCGAGCGTTGTGTTGTTACTTGAACATAAACCAATGTTTCACTAACCTTCTGTCTGCCTGCGCCTACAGCAGGGCTTAGCCAAACCTGTTTCTCTATGGGTGGTGATCCTTTCCTCAGCGATGGGGCCCCGATGCGTTGGAATCTCACACGTTACACAGAAACAAACCGAGGCTCTGACTAGCCTTTTCTCCACCCGAACTCTCAGCAGGCCTCCTCTGCCTTGTTACAGCTCTTCCCTCTAAAGTCTAATCTGCAGTAACCCAGACTGCTTTTATAAACTTGCAAACAATACAACTGAACTGAGACTCACACTTTACTCACTCTCACACTTTCAGCCAAACAATACAATAGGCTAGGCCTTACCCCCTGCCACAACCAAAAACAACCAAATAGACCCCAATACTCATACTCATATTGTAACCGTACGCAGTTGCGAGCGCCGTAAAACGAAAAACCAAAAAAAAAAAAAGAAAAAAAAAGAAAAAAAGAAAAACTGGTAGAGACTAAAGACAAACTGGCCAGTCTTGCCTCATCTTGATCTTGTCATGTGCTATTGCCATGTCGTGCAGGCATTTAAACTGAACTTTTCTTCCAGACCAGAAGCTAGGCTATATAGAACCCTGAGCTTGTTGGCGTAGTTTTTTTTTTGTGTGTGTTTTTTAAAACCGATATTTGTCAGTCCTCGGGCGCCTCAGACTGAGGCATTTACACCGTCGACTTGAGCGTGAGTCCTCACAATACAGGGTAATTAAAAAAAATAATGCACCAAAATCATCACGCGATATTTCCAAAACGAAAAACAATAGAAAACTCTGGCTGGGACTCGTGTGTTATAGACCTACATAGGCCTATCTTCTACATCTAGTTTTAATTTAATGTTTTACAATTACTCCGTGTGACCACCACCGGCAGCACGGACAGCATCAAGCCGAATGTGAGAATTGCTACTGTCAAACGTATTCTTGTGGGTGGTTGGCGGGTGCTCTTGTGTGGTTTGCTTCTCTCGTATGAAACATCTATTGTCCTTATTTCCCCTTCTTTTTAATGTTTGTTACTCTCTTATAACACCTCTAATCTTCCGGCGCTCATATGACCTTATGCAGTTGCAAGCGCTGTTTAACCTCTACAAAATACAACAACAACAACAAAAACAAAAAAACGTATTCTTTTATAATCACCCGTATAATTATAATAGCCTCACACACAGGCGTGCGCCAGCCTGTTGGTCATCGGGTTGACCTCTGGCAAAGCCAGACATTTTGCTGACAGTTGACAGGCCGAGGTAGCGCCGTTCCTTTGAAGTTTCCAGACGACTAAATATCGATCCGATTTCTTTTTTAAAAAAAAGTAAATAATGGCCACAGCCTAAAAATGATAGCATTTTCATCATCAGACTAAATCAGAAGCAAGTTGGCGACAAACGCTACTAGAGGTAGGCTGAACTCCGAGAACCCTGTCTGACCCCGTGGTTTTATGCACCCCGCATAATGTAGCAAAATTTGATCATTTTTTTTGCTGAATTCCTTATTATTTTCCTTTATCATTCTCTGTTAAAATTAACAGAATCGCATAACTTCACATTTTTGGGCTCAGTTTGCATAATATCAGATTATTTATACTTTTTTTTCTCTCATAAAACCGCGGGGACAGCCATGTGGGCCATGACGACCATTCATTGGTGAGAAGAAAAGTGGACATCTTAGAATGGGGGTCCCTTTAGACTGTGTCATTATAACATTTAAAAAAAACTATGCGGTGGGAGATGGTCGTCTGCATACTTGTTATTTACGTTACACATTTTCACTCCAGCGCTCACCATTTTCCCTCCCCCTCCACCATTTCTCCTCCTCCTCCTCCGCCTTTCTATCTATCTCCCACTCACTCTGTCCTTGTCACTCCCAGTACCCTCTCTCGTTATTTCTCACCCTTTCTCCCC